GGGGTTTAAGGGTTTATGCAAGATGTCATCGGACGTCCCATGCGAGAAGAACGCAAGAGATCCTTAACGAGGCCGCTAATTCCTAATTGATTCCATCAAATTACATCACCGTTTAAGGGTTTAGGGGTTTGGGGTTTAGGATTTAGGGGATTTAGGGGTTTAGGGGAGGGCGGTTCCGTTCACAGAAGTTCACAGGGATCCCTAGGGTTATAGCGGTTCTAGGAGATTTCTGGATTTCAGGGTTCAGGGCCCTTGGAGCAACTCCAATCTCTGAACCTGCAGAGCAGCTTCGGCAAGGGTTTCAGATGAGCAGGAGCCATCGCGTTGCTGAGCCACTACCGCTGCTCGTTGAATGACGTCGCCTGAGTATCTGGGATATGATGGCTGCGACTACACTCTGCAAGCTCCGAACGTCCACCTCCTCAGTGCCAGCCTATGAATCCAAGTCATGACCCAATTATAACACTACACAACACTGTAAAAACTCCGTAATGATCCTATAAGACGTTCTACTGTTGATGATATAAATTCTGCATTACCTTAAGGACCCGAAACTATGGGAATTATCGCATATTTCTTATTATGGGTAATGCAGGATTTATATCATCAACCGTATTTCCAGCTCCATACCCTCCCAGCATCTCTCGCTCTGTCCTCTGGGGTCCCTGCGGCTTCGGTGTGGCCCCGGGCCGAGGCGAGAATGAGGGCTGTCCGCCGCTCCTGAATCCGTTCGTACTCTTAGATTTAGGGTCTAGGGGTTCAGTACCCTAGCCAAAAAGGTTAACCTTTTTAATTATGGTCGGATTATATGAAACTCTAAAAGTTCCTCAAAAGGTTAAAGGTTACCTACTCAGCTACTAAGCAGCAGAGGCTCAGGCTTCACGGAGGCTTTGGCGGCTATGTAAGGTCTGTCGGGCTCGGATACTAGCCAAGGAGAAAGACGAATCATGAGTTGATACTGTACATGCGCAAACAACACACTTGTACTACTATCCCCGCTACGACGACATAGACGACTACAACCAACGGCGGACCACCACCACCACCACCACCACCACCACCACCACCACCACCACCACCACCACCACCACCACCACCACCACCACCACGAATAACCATATACAGAGTAACGAGAAATTGCGCGATGCGCATCATCTAACCTTGCGACTTGCCAGGCCCGTAGCGTGCTAGACTTTCAAGGTCCTACATCACCGAACCGATTTTGCTTGTACCTTGATTTGTTGCAGGTTCGTTTAAGACGCCGAACCCTTACATAAAGCCTAAACCCCCCAACCATAAACCCTAGGCCCTAGACCCTTAACCCCAAACCCTCAAACGCCTATATAGTTCCCGAAAATAGGGGACCCTAATATAGTACCCTATAGCTAAATAGTAGGATCATTATAAGGACCCCAAAATCAGGTACCCCCTAATTTTTGGAAACTCCACACCCCAAACCAAACCCTTTATAGAACCCTTATAGACCTTATCGGAACCCCCTTGTAAGATCCCTTTCAAAGTACCCCTAATTTTCGGAAACTCCCATATAACTCCAAAGCCCAAAGAAACGCTTCCGTCCGAGACCGGGCTCCTCGGTTCGCTCCTGGACATCGGCACCCTGAGCTGCCAGCGCCTGAAGCATGGAGAAACGGTTCCTTTAAAGGGTACAACGGTTGATGATATAAACCTTGCATTGGCCATAATAAGGAACATACCAGAATTCCCCATAGTTTAGGAAGCATGGACCCAGGGACTCCAATATCCCTTGATTAAGGAATATTCCTTAAATCATATTAGGGATCCTACAATAATTTGAGGAATAGTCCTTGATTACGGAATATTGGAGTCTCTGGGGAGAAACGGCTCCTTTAAAGGGTACTATAAGGGTACTTTTCAAGGGTACCATAATTCCTCCATTCCCTACTAACCAAAGGTAAGTGAAGCATGGGCAAACGGCCAGGGTTTAGGGTTTTAGGGTTTCGGGTCTTAGGGTTTAGGGGTTTAGGCTTTCGGGTCTTAGGGTTTAGGGTTTCGGGTCTTAGGGTTTATGGTTTAGGATTTCGGGTCTTAAGGTTTAGGGTTTCGGGTCTTAGAGTTTAGGGTTTTAGGGTTTCGGGTCCTAGGGTTTAGGGTTGCGGGTCTTAGGGTTTCGGGTTTGGGGTTTTAGGGTTTCGGGTTTAGGGACAAACGGCAAGGTTTGGGTTGGTGGTTTAGAGTTATAGGGTATTCGATACGGACACACAGGGACTATAAGGGGATATGACTCATGATTCGACCCGTTTATTGGACCCAAGGTCAGAACCCAGATACCCGACCGAAACACCTTCAACTCCGCCAGGAAGCTGAAACCAAGAAGCAGCAAATCCGGAGTACACAGTATGAAAAGCCCGCAGACCCTGAAACCCCAATTCAAGAGCGAAAGCGTAACACACGGAAGCAGAAAACCCTAACCCTAACCCTAAACCCCCTAAACCCTGAACCCCTAAACCCTAACCCCGCTAAAACCCTAAACCCTCTAAACCCTAAACCCTCTACCCTAAGGCCCCAAAGTAGTTCCTTTTGGAGGTTCATATATCGAATCTTATGCGGTTTTCCCAAAAAGGAACTACTATGGGGCCTTAGGGTAAACTCTACACCCGAAACCCTGAAGCCCTGAACCCTCTAAACCCGACTAAACCCTATAAGCTCTAAACTCCAAACTCTAAACCCGAATGTGCCTCCACCACATCCGCAAAGCCCCGCTCGGCTGCCACGTGGAGCGGAGTCCGGCCCCCCGCTGCCGACGGACTCAGCAAGAGGCCAAGTTAGGGTTTAGGGGGTTTAGAGTTTAGGGTTTTGGGGGGTTTAGGGTGTAGGCGATTTGAAGGTGGGGGAGATTGGAGGGTTTAGGGCTGAGTGTTACAAGACTCAAACTAGGGCTAAAAAAAGCACATAAGCAAAAGCAAGGCTAGGGATGTCCCATATAAACCCCCTTATAATGAAGCCCAATAAGGTAATGATATCCCTATAAAATGCTTAGGCTTATGTGCTTTTGGGGATCCCTAACAGACGGGGTTTCTTGGTCTCTGTCGCCAGGTGTCGGGATCTAGAGTCTGGGAGATGACGGCGCAGCTCAGGCTAACAAGCAGGGGGGCTAAAACGAACGGCTCCAAAAAACCCTTAATTAAGGAATATTCCTTACACATTAGAGTAGGGTCCGTAATATGATTTAAGGAATATTCCTTAGTTAAGGGATATTGCCATTGCAGTCTCTGGGTTTACAGAGTGAAGGAGAACCTGGTACGTTTTGATAAGCGCGGAAGAAAGGATGCCGAGGTCATGCCAAACACTTCTAGTAGAACAGCAGCTTCACAAGAGGGCATATCAGATGGCAAAGCTTTGTACAAGCCGTGGCCAGTGGAACAGGAATCGATTCACCCAACCTCCCAAACACCCTCATGCACTGCATAAATCGGAGTTTCCGAAAATAGGGGACCCTAATATAGTACTCGAAATAGTAGGACCCTTATAAGAAGGGTCCAAAAATTAGGTACCCCTAATTTCGGAAGCTCCCGCATGGCTACAGCGGCAGCCGTAGCACACAAAGGTTCCTCATCACGACTTTGGATAGCCTGCGATTGAGGTATTAGTATAACCTTAAATCCCCAATACCCGAGGCAACCGTTATAGCAACAACGACTCCAACACCCAACAACACCTGAAGCCGCGGTTCTGCTGCTGTTTTCCGTCGTGGTGGGTACAATGAAGTCCCAAAGGGTCCAAGTATCATTATGGTATATACTTATAGGGTATTTGGGCGGTCTAAGTATATACCATAATGATACTTGGACCCTTTGGGAGTGTATATAAAGCCACGCCGAGGCCAGGACTGTCTGTTGATCTTGTGGGAGAGCAGCAGCTCCACGACTTGCGCATGTCCTGTAATGTAGCGGCCTTAATAATCTAGTACAGGGTTTTGGGGGCTCCTTACTATAACTATTTAGTACAGCATACCCCCAAATCCTATTCTTCTTCTTCTCCAAGGCTTTAGGGGGCCGGTCAGATCCCAGTGCTCTTTGAAATTCATACTCCTCCGTTTGGCTTTGTAAGACAATCAGGCGAATCAAGTTACAAGTCCTGCTGTTCTATGCCTTGCCAGCAAGTTCCCGAAAATGCCAAACCACTTAGTACATTAGCAGGTCGAGCACTGGGGTTTCACAGAGCTTTCAAAGGCACACCGGGTAACAAAGACTTCAGTATGTGTTTGCCAACCAGTCTGCACAACGAATCTGCGGTCTTCAGCGACATGTCTGGGTGTTGTGTTCAGGCCAAGTAGTTTGTTGAATATTTCCCGATATACCTCTTCTATGATGGAATACCTGAAGCTGCAGCTTGCAAGCTCTCACCTTTCGAACCCAGCGAGCCTTTTCGGAGAGTGCAGTAAATATACCCCGGTCTCCTTTTGTTAGGTTGGTATTGTTGGTCGTCGCTGTCTTGCCCTCTCCTTGAATGCTCAAATGGATTTCGCAGGAACTCGTATGACGTGTATTCTGGTGCAACAACAGGAAGCCTCAGTTTCAACCGCAATCTCCAAACATCGGAGATTATCGGCGACTGTCGAGGGATATGATGTTTACTTTCCAGTGGTTCAGGTCGGGATTCAATCTTTAGGGAATGTTGCATCAATGGCGATCCCAACGCAAGACCTGAAAGCCCATGAGAACTAATGCCGAAGCGATGAAACCTGTCTATCGGGTGGAATGTAATATCCTTTTAGTCCTTTTGATGCCCTAAACCCCTGATCCCACAGGTTTCCTCGAATGTCTGCCTTACGAGATTACATCATAACTTCTCCTTCCTGATCGAAAACCCCCGATACCTTCACTCCCTCCCAACGGCCCGGTAAAGGCGGGCGGGCCAAAAGCCCGGGTGGCTTTCTCGACGTGGCATTCACGAGATCAGATATCAGAAAGGCGGAGTAGGCATGAAATCTGACGAGATCCGTTTTCTCCTCGGCGCTCTCAAAAATGCTGGTTTCGAAAGTACGCAAGATAAGCTGTGTAAAGTGGTACCAAAAGGTGAAGCCATCGTGAAGGTATCCTGGCACACATGGGCGTCAGCAAGGCCTCGAAGGGCCTCTGCACCATCAAGTACAGCAGCAATGCACACAGAAGGTGCGCCAACAGCAGCCCCGGACCCAGCAGCAGCTGTTCCCAGAAAGGGTCTGCTCGATTGCTCCGCACCAATGGGAGACCCTTTGATGAGTAGCCCTCTAGCAGGAAGGTCTGCAAAGCGTTCTCTGTCACCAGGATGCAGAAGCTGAGTCGGGACAGCCAGGTGAAGGCAGAACAGTACGAAAGGCTCTGCACCCTCCTCTCGGTCCTCAGCAGGATACAGAGACCCAGTACGAAGGGCACGTCCCCTACCACATCTTTTACATTGCGCTCCTGGCACCAAAGTTCATAATCTTGTCGGTTGATCCAGGTCGACCAAAGCCACCCAGTCCCTGCAGCCAGCAGACCAACACGCTGTGTCATGAAGCCGTTGGGGAAAAACCCTACCGTACTCCTTGCCAACAGAAATAGTCCCAAGAATGCTGGGTTCTCAAGCCTTTTCACCAATAGGTGGTTCGCCCCAGCATTTAGCTCCCGTCGCAGCGACTCATGGAAATAGTCGAAGTAATAGTACGCAAAACCGAATAAAACCAAAACTGATTGGAGAGCACTGGCATAGTTCAAGCCTGCTGCTTGAAGAATCAGGAAGCCAAAGCAAGCCAGAATCCTTTCTGTAGCGTCCCTCACTTGCCAGTTGATGGTGAAAAAACGAGAGGCGCAACTCCAAAACGACGACTTACATTCCAAACCATCCATAACTTCGTTGGTCCATATCAGCGTTGAGCCTTCCAGCTTGCTCAAGGTTGTATCCACATACGACAGCGGCCGAGCATGAAAGGCATAGCGACTGCCCGTCCGATCCCACCACACGGACAATACTATCAAAGGGAACTGACGCACAAATTTCCGAACTAATTTAAGAGCGCAGTTCTTGGAAGCTTCAGGAAAAGATATTTGTCGTTCTGGTTCTCCGAGTGCCAAGTGAAGCGTCAAAACAGTCATCGCCACCACAGCTCTGTAACCTTGGCTGACTTCTGCCGCCCTCCTAAAAGTTAAACATTTGGCGTCCTTATTATAGTTCATATACAAACCCAAAATGCTAAACTTTTGGCCTCCTTATTATAGTTCATATGAAACCAGAAAAGTTAAACTTTTGGCCTCCTTATTTAGAAACCCCCCAACAAATTCTAGTCCAAAGAGCCAACCAGAAGAACGCCAAGTAACAGAAGGACAAACGCAAGTCCCAGCTTGCCACACGGTCAGTGCGGGTCTTGATTTGTGCCTGTTGTTTAGGGTTTATTAGGGTTTAGGGTTCTGGGTTTAGGAGTTTAGGGTTTTTGTTCCAAAAAGTTCGAGGGGTTAGGGTTTATCAGGGTTCAGGGTTTGGGGTCCTTATAATACGGATCCTACTGTTTGCGGTAGTATATTAGGGTCTCCTATTTTCGGAAACCCCCATTTGTGCCTGTTCCAAGTGCAAAAACAGTAGCAGCAAGGTGGCTACAGCACGGAGGAAGTCTACCGCAAAGCCAACTGAAGGCCGACACAAATCTGCCCATGATCGCTTCAGCGACAAAGAAATCACCACATGCATTGCAGTCCTCCTTACCGGGTTCATGAAAGGAGTCAGATCTGAAACTGAAAGCGCACATTTGTCTGATAGCCAGAAGTGGTCACACACGGTTGCAGATAAAAGCGTCAGAAACACAACGGCCAGGAAGATCAGCACTTGAAAGGAAACATCATCCATCCGATCACGTAGGGTTGACGAAGCTTCTCCCTCCGGATGGACAGATTCCAAGAAACGAGGCCACTCCCAAGCATCAACTGATCGAACAGTCATCGCGACGCGCTGCGCATCTGCGATCTGCAATGTGTATGCAGGCACCAGGTCATTGACCACCTCCTCCGCAGAGCAAACCTTTGGAGCGCAAAATCCGAAATGAAGAACCTGCGACGTGGTTCGAATAGCCGCCGGACCCGTAGGCGAGTCAAAGCCCAACCGAATCAGAAAGAAACGGCCATGGAAAGCTATGCAGCCACCCACGTCACCATGGCGTTGGCCATCCCAACCGTGAGCCAAATGTCGAAGTGGTATTCCAGAAAACTCAGCATAAACCCCTGTAGGAGGGCCCCATTGAATATTCAGATCCCAACCCCACCGCCTTTGGCATTCTGACATGCCTTGAAACAGCGCCCTGTCACGGAACACTGCACTCTCCTTTCCCTTGAAATCATGATTCTGGCAGTTCCACTCGTTGAGAGCAGGTTCAGTTTGGGGAATGCCCTGCAAACAGCAGGTTTCATAGGAGAAACGTCCGTCCCAGCACGAAGCTTCACCCTTGGGGCCTTTCGTGATATCACAACATAGCTGATATGTATAGCCCTCAATCCAACAGTCGGGATTTCCATTCCCCCAGACTGATGATGCTTGAAGCGCCAGCGCCAACGTTCTCCTCAGCACCCGCAACATCATTTCGACCGATTTGACATTGTTCCATGCGGAGTGGGAGGCAAACGTCAGTTCAATTTGGGACAGCTTGAGCCAAACCCTATTCAAATTATTACCCTACGGCCCCATAGTAGTTTCCTTTTGGGGTTCAGTTTTAGAATCCAATAAGGTCATCCCAACAAGGAACTACTATGGGTCCTTAGGGTAAGGCCCCTACAGTAGGCAGGAAAGAGCTGAAGAATCCTGTGGAGATGAACGCAGAGGCCATAGCAGGAACTCCCAAAGCTCGTGTCGTTGCATCGCTGCTTCCCGGAAGAAACCCAGGATATGTGCTTCTAAGGCTGCCGCCTTCTGTTCAATATGAGTCCACCCTCCTAGCATACCTGCTCCGACGCATGGCTCATGTTTAAGCCCATGTTATGCCAAGGCCCCAATTGTAGGGTTTAGGGTTCAGGGAACTCTGAGTTTGCTCCACTGGAGCCTCTCGTAAGTAACATGTAGAGAACCGGAGACCTGCTTGTGATCACGGTCTGCGCTTGAGGTGACATATATACAATAAACCAAAATATACAAGTACGATAAACTGAGAGCAAGGATTTGCGATAAAATGCTGTAAGATGCCCGAATATGCTATGGCATAGTGCAATATAGTACACTGTGATATGGGGTCGTACACATCGTGCAGCGAGCCTCGTTCAGCCGCTGCATGTAGCGGAGTGCTTCCGTCCTGATGAGGGTTTCGGCTCTCACACTCGGACAAGCCGGCCGAGATTGTTGGAGGGCTTAGAAAGTTCAAGACAGGGAGTCTGAACAACAGCATCCAAGCTGGATACAGATTTTAAGGTAGATCCAATCCCTTCTTGCTACCAAACCTTCAGGCCTCCACCCTGAAACCCTGCACCCCAATCTACAGCAAGGATCCGGCGAGGTCAACAAACTTCCGTTGCCAACTCAGGGCCGCAACTTTGTTCAGGATATCAGAAAATTAGGAAAATAATCCTTCTTGACGAAGGGAGCTTGTTGATCAGGCCCAAGGGCTACAACTTTGGACGACATGGCAAAGCTGCACTCAGAAGTACTTTCGTCGACACACTTCTACTCTGCACGATCGTGACGGCTCTGACTAAACTGCAAATGTGAAAAGAGCCAACACGAACACCAGCACTTACCCTTCCCGGAGCTCCGATGGACAATCTTTGGGGAAGTAGATGACAAACTAGAGAAGAACCCTTTGCAGAACCTTTATTGAATAATTGTATATAGAATCCCTACTGAGCCTGACTGAAAGAGGTACCCTAATTTAGAGAAGTGCACCTGTATATACTACCCTTACCGTAAATCTTGTACATCCCGTTAAGGAGCCTTAAAAAGTACCCCAATGTAGAGAACTACCCTTGTAGTACCCGTACAGAAACCCTTGTAGATCCCCTTAAGGGACCCCCCAAAAGAGACCCTAATCTAGAGAACGACGCTTGATGATATAAATCTTGCATGACCCTAGGAACCTAAACTAGGGGAAATTATGGTGCATTCCTTATTGTGGCTAATGCAGGATTTCTATCATCAACCGTAATACCCTTATAGAAACCCTTATAGATCCTCTTAAGGAACACCAAAGAAAGACCGTCATCTACACAACTACGTAGTACCCTTATAGAAACCCCCATAGATCTGAAGGACCCCCCCCCCCCACAAAAAAAAGGCCCTAATCTAGAAAACTACCCCTATAGATCTTAAGGAACCCCCGCCAAAAAGGCCCTAATCTAGAGAACTACCCCTAGAAGCACTTACACCACGCTTAGGGAAGAATCGGCCTCTGCCCGCACGTTGCCATCCGCTTTCGATTCGAGCCTTGGCTGCTCTTCGGGTTTCGAGGGTCGAGGGGTTAGGGTTTCGGTTTAGGGTTTAGGGTTTGGGGTTTGGGGTTTAGGGATTAAGGCTTCGGTTTGGGGTTTGTGGTTTAGGTTTTTTTTGACACTCACTCTCGGACAAAGCCTGGCAAGGTCTGCAGAAGTAGGTTCGACGATTCGCGTTAACGACCCTAGCAAGCACATGTAGCTCACCAGGCAGCTGTCAGACGGCACCACGACACGCCAACACCAAGTGTACACCAGGGTTTAAGGCTTCGGTTTGGGGTTTGGGGTTTAGAGCTAGGTTTTAAGGCTTCGGTTTAGGGTTTCACGGTTTCGGGCTTATAGGGTTTAGGGTTTCGGTTTAAGGGTTTTTTCCTTCCTACCAAGCAAGGTCGAAGCCCGCGTTGGTTTAGGGTTTGTCGAGGCCCTTAGGCTCTGGGGCTTAGGGATTTAGGGTAGATGGCTTGAGACAGGAGCATCCGGCGATAGGTCAAAGAGCTATCCTGCACCGCACCGCACCGCCAGGCTCAACTCCCCGCACCGAAGCCTCGCTTGACATCTTTGAGCCCAACGAATCCTCTACAAACTCCAAGCTTTGTTCAGCCCTCGAAGCACTCCTAGAACCCTTATAGACCCCATATAGAACTCCTCCTACCTGATAGAGCTCAGTGACAGCACGGCCGCGGCACCGACGTGGCCTCCGAAACCTGATTCAATCAATCTGCTGTTTGTGGATTGGCTGTTGCAGTTTCGAGGGCCGAGTATCCTAACCAGCTAGACTATATTGCTGTTGCAGTTTGGGGTTCAGGGTGTCAGGGTTTAAGGTTCCGCCTATGCAGAGAGACGCCTGGCAAGGCCTTGCTGCAAAAAACTGCTCACAACTCGGTTTAGGATCTTGGGAAACAACATGACATTCGAAGCAGGCATCGTGCTGAGCGTTAGCCTGAATATTGCCAAATTCACTACCTCAGCCGCTCCCAATACTTCGGCAGAACCGATCATCTGATGCGTAGAAACATTAGTAGATGCATATCAACAAGGGTTGCTACCTATAAGAAGGGGCGCTTGGAAGCAGGGCGCTGCTAAGTGGTATTACGACACGACAGGGTGGGCATGCACAAATTTGACTTCGGGTCCTAATGCTATGTGAGGCTGGACCATTTCGATGCTATCGCCCGTAAGTGTGTTGCAGGAAACCCAAATCAAGGTGCAGGGCTTTGGGTAGGGGTCCGGCTTTCGGTCAAGTAGTTGGTTGCAGAAAAAACTCGCCCCGTAAGCTTGGATACGAATGCGGTCATCCTGCTCTCCCTTTTCTCTAGTCGCAGGGCAACGGATCCTTGTGCCATTCAAGTCCAGCCGACGCGAGGCAGGCTCTCAGAGGAAAAGAACACGAGGCCAACTTCAGACTGGGAGCATTCGTGCATTTGCTACGGCGCCTTGCGCCTCCGGCTAAATCAATATATTGATATACCTACATGTTATCTATATCTATGTATAAATATATACACATGATTACACACACATATATAATTACATCTGTACATATACGGTGTATATATATATATATATATACACACATGTGAAAAGATAAAGACTGTTTCATGTATGCATCTATGTTTACATATAGACATGTGTATTATGTTGATATCGTTGCTTTGCCACTCTTATCATCGCCATCACTCCCTTGAGGCTTAAGATCTAAGTAGACTTAGATTGTAGTTGCAGGGCTCTCAGGGCCTGTTTTGCTGCTCTGCCACGCTCGGTGAAGGAATCCATCCGCTGCACCAAAACATGCAAAATGGTCGCTTGCCCCCGCAGTACAAACATCACATGCCATGCTGACCTATACTAAGAATTGTTCGGTTTCCCAGCACCATTGCAGATGCATGCCCTCATGTCAGGCAGGACATGGGCGCTGCAAGAGCATGCAGTCCGCGACGACTGACTATGACGGGGACTGTGACGAATGCATGCAACATCCCAAACATGGCATACAGAAACATGAGCATGTGCATACGCATATGCCAACCGATCAGCTTAGCTGGCAACTGATGTACCGTTTGGTATATTTGTCTGCCTGCTTCTTTCTCCGGCTCTCCGCAGCGATCTAGACGGATAGATGGATAGGAAGATAGATAGTTCGATGGGTAAGTAGCTAGATAGGTCGATAGATCGAGACATCGATAGATGGATAGACAGATAGAAGGCGAGACAGAAAGACAGACAGACAGCCAGGCAGGCAGGCAGCGAGAGAGAGTTAGAGAGGCGATAGATAGGCACATGACACATACATACAGGTTTGAATTGTGGTGTATTCTGTGCTGCTCTTCTTGCTGGATGTTCGGCGGTACTTTTTCGGATGCATGTTGCAGCGTGCCTTGTTGATTGTGTACGTGTGTAGTAGTCCTTCCCAGTTTTCCACTGGACCAGGGCAGCTACGGCCTTAATTCACAACAAGTAGCTGCCAACTGGCTGCATGAAACTACGACCCATTCCTGGAGGAACAACACTTAGAGGATGGGTCAGTCGTCAGGCCGTTAGGCATGATCATAGCAGAACGTTTCTTCATTTCTTTGCTAACCACGGAGTCTAAAGGTGCCTCAAGCGATCGTGTGCCGTGTGATTACTGCTTGAAAACTGCCTGTCGAGACTCTTCTGGCATTACCGTATTCGTGTTCTGTCCGGCAGGTCCACGACGACATGCATGTGTTGAATACGGCATTCGAACCCATATACTCTCGCCTAGACGTGCGACTGGGGGAAAGCACGAAAACGCATCATGTTGAGTCGGGTGAACCGTATCTAAGGAGCATGTGCAGCGACAGAAAACCCTCCATGAAGAACAAAAGAAGCAAGTACAGCCAGTTCAGGTGACATCGGCTCACATCCACCATCATATCTGAAAAACACTCAACCCCGTATCCTTAAACTGAATAATGAAACTTCCTCCGCAAACCCACTATCGGGCTTATGAGCTGCACAGGGTTGGTGTCCGCTGCAATGCAAACTCCACGGATATCGCGCGGGCGGACGATGCTCGGCATTTCCACCCACGGACTGAGAGCAGGTGTGAAACCTGGCAAAAGGGCAGGGGCACCCTGTTTCTTACCGCTGAAAACATGACAGAATTTAGGCATGGGGTTGCGAATAGCAGCAAGGCTAATGTAACAACCTCGACAGCAGCTGGTTCTTGTGATTCTGCCTGGTGCTTATATCCTAGATGGTCCTAAATCATGGAAATTACAATACCGAGAGCTTCTCGGTGAGCTTCCATCTATGCAGCCGGCGACATCCGAAAACTATGACCCATCTACGCCCGAAATGCTGATTCATGCTATGATGCAGTGTTAGGAAACCCAGAGCATCCAAAACCCCTGAATTCAGGCATTTATAAGGAATATATACCTTAAACCATACTATGGGACCTACCACGTGCACACCTCAAAGTACATTCTGTAATTAACGGGTCTTGGAGGCTCTGGGGAAAGAGCCGCCTTAAGGACGCAATCACGACTCTCTGGCTCAAGAGCACGGGCGCTTCCTATCTGCGAACACCTCTATGGTTTGTGATCCAGGGTCGGAGAGGGGGGGGGGGGGTTGGGAGCAGGGCTTGGGACTCGAGGAAATTGTGGTGCTCGAAGGGTGCATCGACTTAGGCATGACGCTTCAACTTGCGGTGTCCGACACCCGGTCAGTCGTCCAAGGTTGTCCCTACCGGCACTGCACCAAAACATCTGGCGATTCAGGGCCCAGAGCTGACGCTATCGTATTGCTACGGTGGTGATGGTAACGATGATAAAGATGTTGATGTTGATGGCTTGCGCGAGTATTACTGCTAATATAAGGCCACCTGCTATGATTGCAACTTGCAACTGCATGAAGACGAAGGCTCAACACAGCTGCTCCTCGTAGCGACACAACACTGGCTAAGCAGCAGCATACGAGCTCAAGTTATTCAAGTTCAGGAGCACATGCCGAAAGACTGAAGGGTTCATAATGCCGACCGCGAGAAAAAAGGCCTTAACCGTAAAACAGCACTCTGTAGCAGTCGATTGGGCCCAGCTCGCAACACGAGGGTGCAGCTATGCAGGTGCTGGCACAGAGTAGTGATGAGCTTGTAGGGTTTCGTTTCGGGTTTAGGGCTTGAGCGTTCCTGCAAGAAGAAGCAGTAGAATATGCCTTCTGATTACCAGAGTTGCCAGCAGGATCAGCAGGGGATCGTATTTCGAGGAATTGAGAGCTTCGTAGGAAAGGCGTCACAGGCTCTAGCGGCCCTACATCAGAGATACGACGGGGCAGGGAAGCGTGTGCCAACACCCTGCGAATCTTGCAGTACAGCTGCACAATCACAATACCAATCCTAGCCTGCGAGGCTTGATGTCGGCTTCCTTTGAGCCTGAAGTCCAAACACGTGGGTTTGCAAACAAAAACAGGCTTGGGCCCTAACTTAAACGGCGAGCGTGAGTCAGTGTTACCAGGTTCCATGATACCAAGTATGGACTTTGTCCAAGTTGCCTCGGAAGATAGCATGCAAAGCTTGATTGTGCATGCATGCTAACGTGCGGTCCTTTGTGCACTGCTGTCGATGGCAACACATTTTGCCAAAATGAACATGTACAAGGCAATCTTTCTTGAACATAACCAGGGAGCATCAACGACATGGAGCACATCAGCACTCCAAAGGAACTCTAAGCTGCCATGCGGGACAGCAGCGACATACGATGTGCAACAGATCTGACAATCTCAATTAAAAGGGAAGCTTGGAAACGGGCGTCTTTGACGCCAGCCTCGTCGTTTTCACTCCGCAATGCGGTGCTTGTCGCAGGGGCGCGGTGGTGGTCGGTGGGCAACCGCGGCTGTACCAGGCCGCGCGTGCCTGCATGGCTTTACCAAACGCTAGGTTTATGCATGTTGGATCTACTGAGCACTGACAGCCAACAACGCAGTGGCGAGAAGATGACTGTCCCCATGCAGAAATGCGCCACAATGCCGGAGTGACCAGGATTGCAAAACTCCTTGGTCATGAGTCCTTTCGTTGCCCAAGTGCTTCAACGAAGATTCGGCAGAGGCAAAAGACAAATGCACGAACTTAGCCAGTAAGCCTTGGAACCAACACTATTTTTACAAATAAAATCACGGAATCATCTTGCTGTGAGGGCTGTCTGGAATCTGTATGTATGTGAATATATATGTACATACTGTATACATATATATATATATATAATGTAGTACATATACAGACACATAAAGACATATGTAAAAGTATACGTAGTGTATGTCGTCTCTCACTAACAAGATTGCCCCCACAGTGCCCCAGTGTCTAAACCACCTTAAACCCTAATTCCTCAAGCTCCAGTATCCCAACCACAGATGCCTTCCTCTCGCCTAGGAAGAGACCACAGCAGCTGCTGCGGCCGCAGCGCCGCTCCGTGACTGCGAATCGTCGGCTTGCCGATTGAGCTCCTGAGTGGGTCTGGGGTTTAGGGTTTACTAAGTAAAATCGGGTTTTGGGGCCCCTTAGAGTATAATTATAATTCGGAACACTCGAAAATAGTATACCCAGACCCCCGGGAGGATCCAAAAAGCAGATCCCTTAATGGGGGTTCCTATAAAGTTCCCTTTAGTAGCTAGGGTCCCAAATTAGAGGATCTACTTTCTAGATCCTCCCCAAAGTTCTGGGGAGTGACGAGCAGCGATTGACATGAAGCTTTAGCCGAAACTTTAGCCGATGGGTGTTTCATGCGAATGCCAATCGCATCCTTCTTTCCCAAGGGTCCAAGTACCTAATAATCATCTACTCTCCAAAATCCTAATCTACATAACTACTGCCCTAAAACCGAGTACCGAATTATTGGGTCCTTTGGACCCGTGGGGTCTAGCAAACTCCCAATGGTACGGAGAACGTCCAACCGAAAAAGTGGTTTGGAACGAAGCTGGGCACTAAGGGCTTGCAAAGACATCGAACCTCTGCTAGAACTTCTCCTGAAGAAACCGAGACGACATCTTAGTTGAAACTCCGAACTTGCGGCAGGGTCATCCATATCTCCACCATGCCGTTGTAGGTCAAAGCTGTATGAATGTCTAATACACATTAGTGAGTGTTTTAGATGCCACCCTCTCTGAACGAAACATATCTCGTGCTCGCGAACTTGCTCGTCTTGCATGGGCCAGCAAATTCCGATTTCGAGTTTAGCGTCCACGGCTGTGTTTGTGGCATGTGAAGTTTGGCTTGAAAGGAGCTTGACATCTTTCAGTCTGCTACGCCCCAAGTCTCCGCATAACCATCCCGAAATTCGAATTCTACTATATACAAAATTGAACTGCCCCTGAGGTCCCTAACAATAAGAACAATCACAAAACAGCTACTATTTTGATGTAGAAACACATTGAGAGTACGTGATAAAATGTATATACATATATATATATATATAAAGATATATGCAACCTACATATTCATATTCACAATATTGAAAATCAGATCTTTTCAGTCAAAACGAGTCGGGTGGTCACTTGCAGCTCGAGGCACCACTTGATCTGGGCCTTGTTTCGAGTTCATGGCCTTCAGCTTCCTGTCAGAGCGGCAGAGGCTTGGGTATACGGTTTGGGTTTTGAGGTTTAGTGGCCTTAATAGTTAGAATGGGATTTTGGGGTATGTTCTACTATAAAGTATGATAAGAGCCCCCACAAGACTATTGGTAGTGATTTAGGCCCCATATTAGGCTCATCTGTCCAGTATCCTAGGCGGACTAAAGGGTAAGCTTCGGGATAACTTAGGGCAGTTATAGTACCACGAAAAGATTCAAGGATACCTACTCTCGTTTACTACTAAACGAAGAGTGGCAGGCCAATGCGACGAGTGGAGGACCCAGTAGGCAGAGCAAAGGAACCCAGGAAGAATTTGCGGGCCGTTTAGGGGCTGAGTATCCCAGCCCAAACAAGGTCAACTTTTTGGTTTATGGTAGGACCTGGTAGGATTAAAGAACCCCAAAAGGTTACAGGTTACCTACTCAGCTACTAAGTTTAAGGTTTAGAGGCTGGCCCTGGCCAGCCTTCTCCGGCCGTCGGAGAGGTGCATGCCGGTAATGCGCGCGAAAGCCAGCTTGTCAATCGTGAGGATTTCGCAAGTGCTAACCTGAAGGAGAAGAGGTTTCAATGCACAAAAAGACCCTGCCACAATCCGCATCGGCATAGACGTGCCCGAGCACCGCAACCACCAACGACGGCAGCAACAGGACCAAGAACCACCACTGCCGCCACCACCACCACCACCACCACCACCACCACCACCACCACCACCACCTCAACCACCACCGCGACCACCACCACCGCCGCCAGCCCTACCACCGCCGAAAGTGCCGCCGCCATGGCGCCATGGTCTGCGACATCACCAAGTCGCAAGCCACAACCATCAGTGGCTGCAACTGCCGCGGCAGCAGCAGCAGCAGCAGCAGCAGCAGCAGCAGCACCACCACCACCACCACCACCACCACCACCACCACCACCACCACCACCACCACCACCACCACCACCACCACCACCACCACCACCACCACCACCACCACCACCACCACCACCACCACCACCACCGCGTTCACAATCATGAACGGCAAGTTCATCACTAGCAACATCCCCATCACCGTTAACGAACAACACCATCCTCAAACCTTGGCTACATAGGACGGTCAAGGTCGCAATGAACAGATGAACATGACGATGCCTCTCTCTCTCTATATATATATTTATGTATATATGTATATACATATATGCTGACGGTTCTGTTTCTTCTGCTGGCGATGCTGCTGATGCTCGGCGATACAGCATTGTACTGGAGAACATGACGACAGACGAAACGACCCCGGCTGCTACTGCTACCACTGCCACCACCGACAACAACGACTGCTGCCGCTGCTCCTCCTACTCCTACTCCTCCTGCTCCCGCTCCTCCTCCCCCTCCTCCTCCTCCTCCTCCTCCTCCCCCTCCTCCTGCTCATGCTTCTGCTGCTGTTGCTGCTCAAGTTTATCAGCACTGCTTTAAGGACGGTAAGCTGCAACAATGGCTAGAGATTCGGCTCCAGGATGGATGGGACACGACCCATCACGTGCAAGTCGTTGGGGCAGGATGTGATCGCAGGCGATCTCCCAATTTCACAGATCTTGAACTGGCAACCGCCAATCTTGTCTGAAATCATTAACCGGACCTTTGCCCCTAAACCCTATAAACCCTCCCTTGTGTCATTTCGTCACACCAAGTGGCCGTCGTGACTGTCAAAGTTGAGATCACAGGCTCCTCGACTATTATACTTGTTGGGAAGCGGTACTATAGGGGCCTAAATAATCACCAATACTATTTTGGGGTTCCTTCTAATATCTAAGGTTATCTAACTTCAAGAGTAATGCTCTATTGCATATGCCAGGACCCAGGACGATGGTACGGTACATGAGGCACGCATGGTACGGTACAAGGGGTACGCATGGTACGGTATAAGGGGTACGCATGGTACGGTACAACAGGTACGGTACGCATGACATGTGTACCACTGTACCGTACCATGTACCGTACCCTATGTACCATCGTACCGTACCCCATTTAGCATGACATGGACCCCAATTAGCATAACATATGTCATGCTAAATGGGGTCCATGTCATGCTAAATGTGGTACGGTACGATGGTACATAGAGCACGGTCCGATGGTACAGGTACCCGCGAAGCGCCCCCTATATGTACCCTCGAAGCGTCCCCTATGTACCCTCGAGCCGTCCCCTATGTACCCTCGAAGCGTCCCCGATGTACCCCGGAAGCGTCCCCTAAACCGTTCCCTATGTACGATTACGAAGCGTACCATGACGCATGTGGTCAATAGAAACCATCTGTTTCATTACTCTTGAGGGCTGACAAATCTAAGGTACAATGGGCCCCCAGACCCCAGTCTGATTATTTGATTTAGGCCTCAAATTACACTTGTTGGGAAGAGGTACTGGCTCCGATGTCTGGGTTTGTCTGGCACATCCGTCCGAGTGACATGCCAACGTTTACGCAAGTGGCATGCTAAGTTGCGTGCGAGCACAGGCGACAGTGTAACAGGGAGTGCTGGTACCTTGCTTCGTACTCTGAGTGGCAGAACGACAATCTGTAAAACGACATGTTAAACTGTCTCACGCTACTGTTGACGGGTACATGCCAATGACGAAATCACTGCAATCTGCTGCTAGATTGTGCTCTCCACCACAGTAACATTACCAACGCAGCTTTTGGCATCGCATCTGATTGGAGGAACGCCGAGCATGAGACCTGCTTTGGCTGCTATGGAGGGGGAACCAAGTCTACCAGCATGTGGCTGCATCTGGCGACAGACAACACAGGGTTTGGGGCTTGAAAAGGCTGAAGAGGCAACGGGATAAACAACGACGACTCCGGATGTTGTTGGCTAGGGCTTCATAATGTAATTCTGTGAGGAAAACTGTCGGCTTTACATCTGTAACGCGAAATCTGCAAGCTCCTCCGTCTCCAGGCACGCCTGAAGCGGCGTTGACTGCTTGGTTGCAGAGTTTCGGGCCATAAACAAACTGATCCCTGACCTGCAGTTAGCCTTCTTGCCCCTGCGCCTCCAAACACTTACAGAAAACTGCCTCAACAATCAATATAGACATCATGGAATAGAGCTGTGAATTCTGCAGCGGGAGGCATCTCAGTCTTGCTGGCGTCTCTGGTATTGCAACTACAGTCTACAATATGGAAGTCACTACTGGAACACATCGGCAGCGAAATCAAGATGTAGACGACGGCGCTGTCGCGAAGTTCCGGAAATACATCAACATGCTAGCAAATGAGCAATTCTTTGCAGGCTTCTGCTCCTCAAGCTGACCTCCGTTTTCTAATTGCTTGTTGTGAGCTTCCGGCCTCATCAATGATGGCATCATGCGGTACCTCGACGGCGATCTGGTTGATGTCCCTGGCCTGAGCAGTGAGACAAGCTGATGCAAGTCCTGCACCTGACTACTACTCTTGTTGCTACTACTGCGATCATAGCAATTACTACTACGGCTACCATTACTGCTCCTGTTACGACTGCTTGTTACGATTATTTCTAGGTATCAGTTATTCTTACAGTATCTCTTCTTGATAAGGTTCGTGAGTGAGAGGCCCGTGTCAAGAACGAGCCAACCGGTCGGCCAACATCATCACCAGAATAAGGGACGGGGTATATGACAGTATTTGTATACACGTATACATGAGGATTCCAGGGCAAGCGATACTAATTTAACAAATTTCTACGACTTGTACCGACCTCTAAACCGAACCCTCCCTGTTCCAGCCCAGCTGCCGAAAGTGTTCCGGCACACAGGAGCCGCGCGACGCTGGCTTCGTGGCCAGCAACGCACAGCTGCGTCTCCGGAAGGTAGTCTTTCGGTTCCTGAGAGAGTTGGAGAGAGATTCGCTCAACCGCTTCACTTCGGGGCGACAGTCATTATGCTGTAAATTGTGTACAGCACACTACCGGTGGTCTGTATGTTCCACCATGACTAGCACTGCTGAATATTTTGTTTCTTGTTGCCGAAGATGATGATGCCAGTAACCCCTGCTGTCTTTGCCTGTCTTCTTGCTGCATCTACCCCTGCTACTACGACCTCCGACTGCTGCCAACTACCGTTACAACACCACCTCCACAAAGAATGCACACCTACTACGCCTACGCTACGACGGCGACGACGACTACTACTACGACTACTACTGCGACTACTACTACTACTACTAGTACTACTACTACTACTACTACTACTACTACTACTACTACTACTACTACTACTACTACTACTACTACTACTACTACTACTACTACTACTACTAGTACTACTACTAGTACTACTACTACTACTACTACTACTACTACTACTACTACTACTACTACTACAACTACAACTACAACTGCAACTCCAACTACAACTACAACAACAACTACTACAACTACAACTACAACTACAACTACTACTACTACTACTACTACTACTACTACTACTACGACTACGACTACGACTACTACTACTACTACTACTACTACTACTACTACTACTACTACTACTACTACTACTACTACTAGTTGTGCACTGCCCCCTTGATCATCAGGATTAATCTGGAAAGCTCGGCACAAGCAGTGTCAATAGGTCGCATAGTACGGGGGCACCTAGGACCTAGTAGTACTACTTCTACCACCACCGCCACTGCTGCTCCCGATAGGTACAACGGTGCGCATGTATCTCAAGCACCTACCTCTTCCTCTGACCGTCCTTGCGGCAAGCAATTGGCTATGCTATGAATGGGAACCAGTGACTCAACCAGTCGTATATTTCCGAAACGAGTAAGCAAAAACAGCACTCGTGCAATGGTAAGGAACTGTGGCAAGCGTCAAGAGACACATACACTTTAAATCAGATACTTAACGCACATGACATGGTTGTTTCGTTAAGACTGCTTTGCGACGGCCGGAAGCAAGAAGTAATATCGTCGCTGCGCGCAGCCTCTTGAGGGAATGCCGATGGAGTACCAGAAGACATACAAACCACGACGCCCCAACCCAAAGCTCCCGATCCCCTGCCACCAGTCTAAGTTTAGGGTTTAGGGTTTAGAGCCTACCTATAGTCTATAGTCTCCATTGTAGTTCCTTTTTGTGGTTTCACCAAATTTGTAACTAGGATCCTATAAGGTAGCCCCCAAAAAGGAACTATATGCAATGGAAACTACAGGTAGATCTGGAGAACCAACAAGGCATGCGAGTGCGAGCAGCAAGTCCCGAAACTCTCGTCGTGGGGGAGCACAATCCCTTGAACCCAGAGAGCCCAATACCCCTTAATTGAAGAATAGAGCTTATAAATCATAATATGACCCCCTGTATAATTTAGGCCATATTCCTTAATTAAGTGGTACTGGGCTCTCTGGGAAGCGGCTTCAGGTTTCCTGTCGTATCTGAGGGCCGCACGAATTCCAAGCAAATCTTCTTGATCGCATCTTTGGATAGGTCGGAAATCACCGACAACCTCTGGACGTACTGCAGGGCCTCAGTCTCTTGCAGCTATGATTCTCTGAATAGAATCGTGCTGACGTCGGACATCCTAGTTCTCTTCCATGCGATCAGTGGTGTGACATCATCAAAACAGGAATCACTCCATTGCATGCCGGAGTCGAAGGTCTAAAGCTCGAGGCGGATTCGATATCAGGCTGCACGTATCAAGACACATTCTGTGCAAGGTCTATGTTGTGCCCCCTAAAAGCTCAGACTCTGACATTGTCGAACGTGGATGGCAAGCAAGGTAAATTGCTGAGGCCGTGGCCGTTGCATACTTGACTTCGTTCTGCAGGGCTTTGGGAAGGTTGTCAACGATGTTCACCTGCCCCGCGTGATTACTTCTCGAAGGTGGGCTACAACTACAACCTTAAGCAGCAAACTCTGCACGTAGTCCATATACTTCCTCAGAAGAAGACTGGCAAGTGAGAATGAGAATGCTGCCAACGCCAAGACCCCTCGCGGTTGCGACCTCCTTGGCCAGCATCCGCCTGCGGTTGAACCGGTGCGTGATGTAGTCCTGTGGAATCCGTGTCATGTACGCTTCTCGGGCTTCGAATTCGGGGTTGACAATGTAGAGACCCACTACCAGCAAACATGAATAAAACCCCCCTGCTTCGTACCCGAGAGACCGTAGCCGTACACCCTCGGGCTCAGGGTATTAGATTACAGCACTGGCACCTCTTTTCGCATAACTTCTTGTTCATTCACTAGAGAGACTGCTGAGGGGAATCGAGCGACTCAGTCACTCGTATGAAGGTCACCGGGTAAAGGCCCAATGCGCAACGTAAGTACAACAACTGTGGGTGGGGTGCAGGGGTTTAGGGTTGTTAGGGTTTGTGGGCCAAAAGGCAACCTATGTACGGTGCTCTGAGCATGTTGTATGTACGGTGCTCTGAGCAGGCTTGACTGAGTGTTGTGAGCAGCATAACGTGGTGGTGAAATACCTCACTGGGTGCAGACACCATGGGATGCGATCAAAGAACCCTGTATAACTTCTCAGGGGCTAAGATAAGACTCAATACGCGGTTGAGGGTTTAAGGTGCAGATTTAATTAGGGCTGTTCGGTGTTTCTGGTTTAGATACCAAACTCCAGCCGAACGAAGCACAGAGTCCGAAAGCTCTGAATTTCCAAGCAAGGAAACGGATCGGAACGCGCGGAGCCAGTGCCAAGTTTGCTACATCAGGTATGGCAACTGTGACGATCGTAACCTACAAGCATACATACTGCAACCAAATACAGTTACAAAGGCTCTGGCGCCCTCGGGCGCGCCGATTCAGTGAAACCTTCAGCAGCGAAAATCGAGTTTTCCAGATCCTGGGGGAGATGCAGGTTAATCCCAAGCACAAGAAACGTAAATAAAAGCTACCTACTCTACTGAAGTTCAAACCATGCCCAGGACGATTTGTGAGCAAAAACCCTGCGGCCGCCTTGATACGGCGCTGGGAATGGTCTTCCAACTTGAGCTTGTGCATGTGCCTCGGAGAGGGTTTAGGGTTCGGGATGTAGAGTTTAGCAGATTAGGGCTTCATGGCTTTCATGACTGAGGTGTTTAGGGTTGCTCTTGGGGCGGTTTGGGTTAAAGGTCTTCGTTGCTTCACACTGCTTGGAGCGTGTCCATCTTTGGCACAGAAGCGAAGAACGTAAGATTCGGAAAGTAGCAACTAGAACACCAAACCCCAAACCCTAAACAATAACACCAACCCTGAGTCATTCAAAACCTACCCATACCCCCAAGCCGAAGCCCTCAGCGGGACCTTTTCCTCTCAACCTCGCGCCACAAAGTCGGTTTAGGGTTGAAGGTTTAGGGTTTAGGATTTTAAACCATAAACCCTAGCATGTGGTCCGAAACGAGAACACTGCGACGGAGAACGTTCTGGATGTCTTGGCAGCAACAGCGACCGCCGCAAGTGGGGTAGGAGCAAGAGCAACGACTGCTCCAGCGGAGGCAGCAACAAACTCGCAGAAACTGGTCAAGAATGATAATAATGTCAGTTGCTACAACTGGGTGTCAGCAACTTCAATTGTCATTAACACGACCGAGTGGAGTGACATTAGTCATTAGCAGAAATGCAGCCAGGAACCTGTACAGCAAAACAGACGCCCATGCTATAGCTACCTAACTTTCTCAAAAGGATAATGCGAGTAGTAATAGTGATTACTAGTAAGTCTTCGATCCAGGCAGCCATGAAGAAAAATCTAAACACTAAACTACAAAGCAAAAGCAGCCAAGACGAATGCAGGAGCATGGCGTATCCAAGGCAACAGCAGCGACAACAAGAAGAACAACAGCAACAGCAATGCAGAGCACAAGGCAAGGGTACTCAAAGAGAAGCAGCCACAAATTCTTCTCCGAATGCTCGAATACATCACCGCGGAAAGCAAAACAAAGGCGATGACGATCGCGATCGGGACCAGCACCACTTCTGTGATGACGATGACGACTCTGGTACCCTATCTGGAAACAATAGTACGAGACAACACAGTAGGATCTGTCTTGTCGCAGTTCTGATGCCCGGTAGTTTCATACTGCCACAAGGAGACTGTGAGCCCTGAATCAAGCGCAGGCGAGAGGCATTCGAATTGCAAACATCTCATCGTTGAAGGAACGGCTCCGCTCGCTGATCTTGAAGTACGCTTGCGTCAAAGATGCGACTGAAACTGCGAAGGCAGACCTTAGGGATTAAAGCTGCTTCGGGTTCGAGGTGCCGTTAGGGTTCAGGTTTTACTGTGGAGCCAGCCCTGCTTCAATACTCCCCGCAACTGTAGTCTGCCAGACTGGTCTGCGGCGAGAGTCAGCTCCGTAGGTGTCTGTTGTTCGCTGTCGATGACAACTCGTTAAGAGGCCTCATCCATGCCTTTGCCCTGACGGGGTCTCGAATCAACTACCGCTGCTCCGCTTCCGCCCCCTCCTGCTGCAGCTACTGCTGCTACAACTATCCATGCCGATGCTGCGACGACAGCTTCTGCTGATGTCAATCACCATACTGATCCCTCCTGTCTTAATGATTCCTATCATATCGCAGCTCAGTCTTCTTCGGTTTTACGCTTTCCTCGCAGCACCGGTCTGCCGATGGGGTCAGCAAGATCTGAAAGGGTTCAAAGTATAGGGCCAAGGTGTTTTGAACCTGTCCGGTCCGATAGCACCAGGAATCGCAGCCCTCATCCCCAACCCTACAGCCAAATGCTGTCACGCCCACTTCATCAAGCATGGTCCTACTGTCAATAAACCAATGGGCTTGGGGTTCAGGGACAGGCCCAAAAGTACATGCGGCTTACTGTTTAGGCCAAACACGACGGGCGAAGTGTCTCGCTGCTAATCCCATTGCTGCATGCTGTGTCGGCCAGGTGGCAGTGCAAAGAACATGAAGCAAAGCACAAAGATACCTGAGCCATCACTCAGCGTGTCTAATCTGTGGGGCTTGGCCTGCAGTCCCCAGAAAGCATCTGCTGTTTCAGGACGTAGGACTTTGGAGGTTTGGAGTCTAGGGTGATGGGCTTGAGGTAGGGTGGCAAAGGCGGCAGTCATTGAAAGCCTATGTTGTTCGGGAAACTCATGAAGGCCAATACACGGCTCTGCTACGTAAACACCCGGATGTATCGAAATAGAGGCATCAAGAACATGCTCGCCGTTGCATCTACAAGCCCTGTCGGCAAAAGCAACCATGCTTCGTGGCTCGATACACGGGTGGCTTCTTGGAATGCTCAAGATGAGGGCTGAGAAGAAGCAGCAAGAGGCAACCGCGTGAATCAGAGCAGCGATTGAAATGTTCAGTGCAACCTCGAAGCCCGAAAGGCACATAAGCCCCAACTTCTACAGCGCAAAAACTATAAACTGAAAGATTTGAAACCTGCGAAATTCTGCAGGCCGGGTTGCGCTCAAGCAGATTCACGGGCGTAACCTCTGCCGGCATCGTGCGCATCACGCCAAGGGTCCAGTAGAAGCAGAAGACGTAGCACTCCTGGGCCACTTGGAGCTTTTAACTGAGGTAAGCACAAGTGAGGACGACTTGACCCGATTATCTTATTATCAGTGCCGGCAAGAAGAACATACAAGACATGGCGAAAGTAGTAGACGAGCCGCAAAGTGTGGAGTTGGAATGCAAACGGAAACACCAACACGGGCAGCAAAATTCAGAAGATGTTGCAACAAGGTATGGTGACTTGCACAATGTCACGCTAATGCTACGGCTGCCCTGTTGCTAGTAGTAGTAGTAGTAGTAGTAGTAGTAGTAGTAGTAGCAGCAGTAGTAGTAGTAGTAGTAGTAGTAGTAGTAGTAGTAGTAGTAGTAGTGGTATTATGCGACGACGGCCCGTCATCGACTACTTCTACCGCCGACCGCAGCTGCTTCTGTGCGGCTGCTGCCACTACTACTACTACTACTACTACTACTACTACTACTACTACTACTACCGCTACTACCACTACCACTACCACTACCACTACACTACACTACACCACCACTACCACTACCACTACACTACACCACGACTACTACTACTACTACTACTACTACTACTACTACTACTACTACTACTACTACTACTACTACTACTACTACTACTACTGACTCCAGTAGCGACGCCGACGACAACAACAACAACAACAACACTAACGACGACGACGACGACGACGACGACGACGACGACGACGACGACGACGACGACGACGACGACGACGACGACGACGACGACAACAACAACAACAACAACAACAACAACAACAACAACAACAACAACAACAGCAACAGCAACAGCAACAGCAACAGCAACAGCAAAAGCAACAGCAACAGCAACAGCAACAGCAACAACAACAACAACAACAACAACCACAACAACAACAACAACAACCACAACAACCACCCCTTCTGGTCGGGGGTGGTGCCTTCAGTTTCAGGCACTGCCCCACACGCCAGGGGAATACTGTTGGAGTTTGCGCAGCCAACAGGGGATCAGCTGAGCGTGCTTTTTCCCTTAGTCTTGCTGCCGGTGCGTGTGTGCGTGTTTGGTTCGGCCACCCCGCACCCCAAGCTCCGAGCCAGTGCCCCCAGCTTAGTACCCGTGTGAGGGATCACATGGGGAAGAGCTATTGTTCCTGCGAAGTGGGCTGTCTTGCCAAGTGCCCAAAATCCAACCCAAGCCGTGCAGCTTGGGGGGGCGGGCCCATGGAGGTTCGGGTGGCACTTTTCCCTGCTTGGATTGAGGGGCTCGGAGCGTCGAACTCTTGCCGGATCTCCCCGATGACGAAAACGGAGGGGGGAAGGGATGGCGGGAGGGAACGTTTCCGTTCGGCCGGAGTGCACCCCAGGCCATCCACTCACTCACTCACTCACTCACTCACTCACTCACAACCACAACAACAACATTATCAACAACATCAGCCAAGAACCGCAACCGCAACCACAACAACAACCAACACCTCCTCCTCCTCCTCCTCCTTCTCCCACTACTCCTACTGCTACGACTACTACCACTACTACTGCGACTGCGACTAGTACGACTACTACGATTGCACTGCTTTGTTGATTCCTCAGCCATCGGATTCACAAGACTGCAAGTCAATTCCCTCAACAGCCGGAAGCCTTCCCTTGAAGCCAAGGATCTACAATTGGCTTGTCGTGAAAGCGCCAAGGCTCCTCCGGCCAGAGCTTTGCTCGTGTGAGTTTTACACTAGTAACCACCAACCCGGAGATTCTGCATTTCAGGGCATGTCTGTATAACTCACGCACCTTTGTGCATTCTCTAACTTGCTGACGCAGGGTCCTGACATTGCACATGCAATACCAGGCTTCAGACCCAGAAACTCTCCCTCTCAATACCTGCAGTCTTGTTTCAATGCATCTACCCATGTGTTGACAACATCACCAGATTACGTATTTGTCCCTATTTCGTGCTTGGAAAGGTCATTAAAACCGTATGGATGTATGTACGTATATATATGGTTATATATATAAATATATATATGTACATACATACATATAAAGTGTATACATGTATGTATGTACGTACATATGAATGTATTTGTGTATGTGCGTGTGTATTTATATGCATGTACATATACACCTGGCTCCGTGCACACATATGTGCACGATGGTATGTGCGTGCGTAAAGAAATAGTTATAAACACAAACACACACACACACACACATATATATATATATATATACTGAGTTTTTGGGTATTTACTTGCTTTTGTATTCATGCACTGTATCCACATGCACATGTGCATCTGCGGGTGTGGTTGCAAGGAAAATCACGCTTACACATGGGCAGATGGATACAACTGACTACGACAGCTTAGATGACAATGGGTTCTAGGTTGGAATAGAACAGTAACGTAGACAAGATCAGTTTCGCTAAGGTTCGGTAAAAAAATGGATACAGACAGGTGCATGGAAAGAAAGATGGTTAGACAGATAAAGCAGATAGACGAACAAATTGACACACTGACAGGTGGATGGGTAGATAGATAAATGTATAGATGGATGAATAGGTAGATAGATAGAGAAACGGACAGCTAGATAGCGCCATATTTAGATCGATAGACACATGGTTGGGTAGACAAAGAGACAGATGGGCACGTAAAGTAATTAAGTAGGTAGGTAGATAGGTAGGTAGATTGTGGATAAGCTAGGAGTTATACCTGCATATTGCCTGCTATATAATTAATAAAACGGTTGCAAAACACCGATTACATACTGGCACGACAATGCACGACGTGCTTGCTCAAAAATACTATTCCTGCGGCTGCTTCTTGAAAAGCTTGTCGTGACGATGCATTGCATTACAGCAACAATCCGCTCAGCCATCAAGGACCTTGAACCTTACAATACCATCCAGTGTCTCTTCCTCAACACAAGCAAAGCCTTGGCGTATGTGGGCAGGCAAAGCTAACAGTTTATGAACCCGGCAAAGCAATATGCTTGTATACTCACATGTTTGACACATCCCGAGGCGTCTTCCAGGGCCCCGGTTCGGGGGTTCGCACGATTTTGAATGGTGCATCTTCATCTTGAGGCTTCTGATTTGGGGGGCTCAGCTGAAAGGCTGTAATCACAGCGTCTAGGGCTCTGGATTGCCGTCAAATGATGCTGTGCCAGGAAGAATGGATCCAACAAGTATAGAAACGGAAACGAAAGCCCTTCGATTGCGCAGCATCTTCAAGCTTAAATCGCATGGCTCGGAAAAAGGCTTGGGAGAGAGGGGTTACCCTAAGGCCCCATAGTAGTTCTTTTTTGGGATTACCTTACTGTATAGGATTCTAAATATGGACCCCCAAAAGGAACTACTATGCCCTTTGCCCGTGGGCCTAAAGCAACCCTCCCACAGGCCAGCACTCAGGACTAAGACGACCCATGAATGTGCTAATCCCGACCGGCGGAAAGCTGCCTGGCTTTTGGCATGATAATTCAGCTTCATGGCTAGGATATATTGGTAGTTGCTATGGGCCTCCAGAACTAGCCGACCTTGGCTGCAAGCTCTCCAAAAGGAGCCCTTAGTTGCAAGAGCCCTGCAGTCCCCGTCGACGCCATATTTGTGCCACACCATCGTCCAATGCCTCGCAGTCGGATATAAGTAGGGTTGTAAGTTGGGTAAATCCATTTAGGATACTTATGATAACTCTTCCTGTAGCCTTCTTACTGAGTCCTCTGGGCCTCTATGTGCAGAAACTGACAGCTTCTTATGCCTTGTGCGGCTCAGGGCTTCGAGATTGCTACGGCGCTCAGGCTCAGGCTTGAAGCTTTCGGCGGGAGGGTCTGCGGCTCTTCATGTTGACTGTGTCTCAACATGTCTCAACCAAAGCCGCGATTCTAGGTCCATGGAGTTTGGAGCTGTTGCTGCATACAGTGACCTACGAAGTTCATGACAACAAGGCTACACACCCCAGCTCAATCGCAAAAAAGACCGCTAACCCTTCTTGAGCTTCAGGATGCTAGGAAAACCCACAAACTCTCCAAACACCGCCGGCTGCAGGCAAAGGCGCTCTTGCCCTTCGAAAGCTATCCGCGTCTCATCCGGGAGGAAATCGGTGATGATGCTGTCTGTACGGCCTGCAACGAATAGTTAGTTTGTCGCGCAGGCAGCGGTTCGTGAACGAAGGAGAAGCAGCGAGGATGTCTTGCGATGTGGACAACTGATCTACATCGGCTGCCACAAAACCTGACGGCAGGCAAAGGCAACTCCCGTCGCAGCACGATCGAGCTTCTTAACTTGGGCGTCATGGGAATCATCTGGTGCTACATCGCCCTTACCTTTACGCTGCCTTGATTGCATCCGATTATGTATCGTATACAAGTCTGCCTCCACAAGCACGACAGCCCAGCTGTCGTGCCTGAAACCTAGCCTGAACCAATCTGCTCAAAGTCTGTGTTCCAGATTCCCGAAGCACTCGAAGCCCCTTCGGGCTCAGGTTCTCCAGGTTTTGGTCGCTCTATTCGCAATCCCCAATCTACTTCTTGCCCTATGCCAAATTCTGCGGAAGATGCCGTGCCTATAATCCAGAAGATACCTCACGGGCAAGCAGATCTCAAGCACGGCCGCCATGCTCGTGAGTCGTCCAGCAAATATCTTGAACAGGAGTCCGTCATACCGAGGGCACGCTTTTAAACAACTAAGTACTGCTCGCAGCCGGCAAACCGTGGAAATCGTGTAGCCTAGGACTGCGCTGTGGCCAAAGCAATATATCCCTGTTTCCGTTCAAAGGCCTCACTGCCAAGTTGCAGGCGTTCCAGTGACAAATGGCAACCTTGCTGGCATCATAATCTTTTTGTGTTTTGTGTCATGACCGTAGAGCAGGCATGGGCAGGTGGTGATATTGACAGTCACTAGATTTACAGTATACGATCACTTCTCTTCCGATGCTCACGGTCGTGCTAGCTATTTGGGCTAAGTACAGACTCCAAAAGCCCCTTCTGCTATCGTGGCCATGTGCCCAAAAACTCATCAGCCATCTCGGATCTTGAGAGCCGCTCGCAAAATGCGGCTGTGTGAGGCGGCGGGTTTAGGGTTGAGGGTTCAGGGTTTAGGGATTCAGAGGTTTTGTCCAGTATCGACAGTGTGACCTTCGACCCTCAACTAAGTCAGTCTCTGAACCCAAAACCCTGCATTCAAGTCTCACGTTGTGGGGGCTGCAGCTACGGGAGACAGTTTCCCATGGGCGACATGCCAAAACCTTCCCCATTGAGCATTTCGGGTGCCAAGAGTTTTGCGATGATTTTGAGATTGAAGGAATGCAGAGCTGCCAGGTGACGATCACAAGCAGCACACGAACCAAGTACATCGCTTGGATCACCGTCACGGATCCGATTCCTTGGTTGATGCACCGATCATGGCTCACGCGGCGTCTTTGTGTGGCCTGATGCGCGACTTGGCAGGTAAAACCTAGTCATCGCCCTCAACGGCCTCCAAAAGCAGCCACCTACCTTTTTAAAGCATGTAGTCTTGTGGAGTTCCGGCGGCCAAACCCACACCCTGAAACATCCGGAGGTCCAGGGCCTAGGGGGTGAAGTGCCGATCTGTTCTTCTAAGCCTCGGAACGAAAAAACGCATGGAAAGCCGAGAGTCTGGTTTCCACTCTTTCCCAAATATCCTTGATCTTTCTGGCCCGCAACATCTTCATCAATCGAATAATACCTGGTGGCCGGGTAGGTAGAACATGTCCTCGCCTGCCCTGAAGACAGCTGCACAAGACGAGGGCTCTGAATCAGCAGTGGGACCTGCATTTCAACCTGCCATTGGTTCCTGCTTGGCCTTGAAAGATTACACCAACGAATGCCCTGCTGAGCCAGCACGAGGGCTAGGGAACTTAGTCCACAACGAAACTTGCAAGACAAAGGAGGCAACTGATAGAGTTAGGCAGCACCTGGGACTGTCGTCTGAACAAAGAGAGGTGGGAAGGTCTGAGCCAATGACTGCTGGTAGTTATGATTGAGCAATGGCATCTTTGGCTTGGGTTTAGGGTCAGTTTCTGGCGCTATGTTGGCACAAGCTGTTCATGGGCATGTACCTGACCCCAGCAGATAGCGAATCGGGTCGCATTCCAGCTTTGACTTCCTCCAATGCAGCCTGGCAATCCTTTTAAAGGTCTACCTATATAGTTCCTTTGTGGGGCTACCTTCTGGGATCCTAATTACATATTTGGTTAAACCAAAGATAGGAACTACAATGGAGACTATAGGTACTCTGCTCTCGCAACTCGGAACTCAGCCGGACGAGGTCGCTCGGTTCGCGAACACGCTATAGCGCTCAGGAAAAGGGGTTGGGGTTTAGGGTTTTTGTGGGTTTTCAAGGAACTCAACTAAAGTTGCCTTAAACAGAGCCTAGACTTAGACCAATGCTTCCTTATAAAGGTGTCGTATTAAAACAAGGTCCACAACATTGGCTTGGCTTCCTGTCTCGTGAATGACGGAGAACCCCGAACCAAATTGAGGCTCCTCCCGGTGGCGCAGGTGATGGTCGATCCACACATGTCTGATGCAAGCCAAGCTGCGTAGAAATTTCAACATCCTCAGACAAACTTCCGTCCGAGTTGCTGTACTCCGGCAGACATGCCTACGGGTCCCAGTACTATAAACTCCACCTGCCTTTGGAGTCGAAAGCGACTTTTTTGCAAAATCAGTGCAAGTCCAACATCTTCAAACCTCTGCACCCTTTCCACGAAGCTCTCGAATCTCTCCTCCCTTTCTGCTACTGGGAATTATCCCCCTGAACCAATAACCCCAGACTGCATTGCCAGGAGACTTCGCCAATTTTGCCACGTGGTACAAAGCTCCACCATCTGTATCCGACACCTAGAGGCAGTGCTTGGTTTTACTTTTAAGTGCTAAGTCTCTTGCGGTTTAGGTGGCTTACGACTAAGCATGTACGGTCAAGGGCCTCGAACACCACCGCGGTCGCAGGTTCAGGGTCTGGGCTTTGCCAGTTTCAGTCTGTCGGACACAGACTCAGGGGTGGAGGATCTTTATGATGAGTGAACGATGTCGGTAGGGCTGCAGGGGTGGAAGGTTATCTTTTTAAGTGGTCCCGGTAGGCAGTGTTCTTCTTGTTGATGTTGTCACCTTTGCTGCCGTTGTGGTCGTTGCCATTGTTCTGGCTCTTATTGTTGCTGCTATGAACGCTGCCGCTGTTGTTGTTGTTGTTCTCGTTGCTGTCTGCATGTGTCGAGTTGCAATTGCTTTCGGGCTCAAGATCTTGAGGTTGCAGCATGGACATGCCCTACCCAGTACTAAGTTGCTTAGGCCAGAAATTAAGGGTTTAGTGTCGGGGACTCTGACAGATATATTCATATAGAATTTGTCGCAGACCACCGTCAGCTCTTGAGAGCAACTTTCAGCCCCAGCGGCCATTGCATCAACCATGCGACTCCAAGGCATGGTTGAGACCCAGTCCTGACATGGAGACATCGGAGCTGAGGTGCTACAGTAGAAGCCAGAAAGTTGGAATATCATTATCGTAACCCCTTTAGGGTAAATTATAGGTGATCCTACCATTAATCCATATTCCAACTTTCTGGAGTTCCCTTTACAGGTGTCACGGACAACGGTAGAACCCCTAGAGCTGCAGATCAGAATCCCTAAAATATCCTAAATCCTGATGTGCCACGTGTCTCCAAGCCCGACATGGTCCGCACCCGATTGCTGTAGCTTGTCGGGCTTGACGAAAAGTTCTTCTTATGTCCCTCTCGCAGATTCGATAGCTCGAACCTCTGCAACCATAGTTGAACCCTAAACCCTGAACCCAAAACCCTCGATGACCCGAAGGCGCCGATGTGTCGAAGTGTGCCGGCCGAGCGGCAAAAAAGAACCAGCCACGCAGGTAAGCCCGCGCAATGGTTCGATGGTCAACTATGAGGTCGTCTTCGTCACCTGCAGGAGGCTTGCCCGTTTGCCCAGATGCGCATAATATGTATTCTAGGGGCCTTCATAAGTATAATAATTGTGTTTTTAAAGGGCGGGGGTATTATACTATAACTATAGTAAGGAACCCCCAAAACAGTATAGGTATTTACTGAGGCCCCTATATTGACGGCCACTGTGCCACAAATACGTGGGGACAGGAAACCATGGGTTGACTCAGTATCATACAGGCCATCCGAAAGCATCAATCTCTCTAGATTAGCAATTGCTCGCATGCAGTCCCGACTAGAGGTCTGTCTGGTGCGATTCCTTCCACAACTGGGATCTATAGTAAATGAAGAGGTTTCTTTACCAGTGGAAATTCAAATAAACTTGTCAACAAGAACCCAGACTTCTTCTACAAGAAGAGAAATCACAGTGCAAAGGCTTGTTTGCTGGTTCCGTTCGTCTTGAACGGGTTGTCTCCACCTTGTGTCACTCGCCCAAGTTGTGCATCCTTGAAAAATACCGGGCGATTGAACTTCGGCATTAGTAACTATCTCTGGTTATGAAGAGACAGACCCTGCCCCGAAACCTTATGCCGATTACAAGGTCCAGCTTTCCTCCAGACTTCGACCGGACCCAGTGATCAGGAGTCCCCCCTTTCTGTCCTTAATACAAACTAGAACAGGCATTTGAGGTATATTCTACTATAAATGGTATATTAGGAACTACACTGGGATACTTGTCTGGTTGTAGTTCAGGCCCTTTGACTACGTTGTACCCAGGCGTTTGGGGTATATTTCGGATACGGCTCCATAAGGGGATACTAAATGAGATTACCAAGTCAATAATATGAATAAACATATATATATATATATATATACGTATATATATATGTACAAAACTATGTGTATATATATATATATATGATAAGATATGATAGACACCTCCCCTTAACCATACACCCTACACTTTAAACCCTGCAATACGGGCTCCCAGGTTTCCCTCGACCTCCGAGAGCTGTGTCAAAGGTGGCGACGATGTCCAGTGTGAAAAATGAGGTGGTGATCCAGAACCAAAACCTGCATTTCAGTAGGGTTTAAAGGTGGTGATCCAGAATCCGAGCCTGCATTTTATTGGGGTTCTGAGGTTGTGACCCAGAACCACAACCTGCATTTCATTAGGGTTTATTTGCAGGTAGTGATCCAGAACGAAAGCCTGCCAGGGGTTCAAAAGTGGTGATCCCAATCCGAAACCTGCATTTCATTAAGGTTTGTGGCCATTTTTCCAGAGCAGCCAGAAGCTACTACGAAGAAAAGGCACCTCTCCGGAACCATAAACCCTAAGCCTTAGATGCTCTATCTAATAGCAGACAATAAAGAGTTTCCCAAACTGCCACCTAAACCTTAGGTGCTGTATTTCATAGCAAGGAAAATAGAGAGTTTCCCAAAGTGCCACCCAGAAACTCATCAAAGGCATCCGGCTCAAGATCCCGCTTGAAGGACCTGAGATTCGGTCGCTCAAAGGCTTTTCGGGGGGCATTAGAAGGCTCAGGGTTTTTTGGGGCATTCTCGGGTGTAGGGCTTAGGGTTTAGTGTTTAGGGTTTAGAGCTTAGGGCTTATGGTTTTGGGTTTAGGGCTTAGGGTTCAGGGTTATAGGGCATTATAGGGCTTTGGATGCGGAGTCGAGGATTTTGGCTGTGACCTTCAGGGCTTAGAGGGTTTAAAGGGTTATAGGGCTTAAGGTTTAGAGTGTGGGATGTAGGATCCGTTGCCAGAACTCATGACGGATGGTAGCATCTCCGACACTAACTTCCCACCACAAGTAGTCGCGAACCAGTGTCATGTTGGATGCTGATGGAATTTATGAGTTGCTTTGGTGTCGATACTCGCTTGGTTTCGGACAGGGCACGGTGTGGATGAAAACACACTTGTTTTTAAATACCGTCTCCATATATCTGCGGCTTGCAGCAACTTTCCGTGGGGATGTGTGGTAAATCACGCACCCACGCCTCGCCCTGAATCTTGGAGTTCTGCTCCCCCTTGAGCCCTTTGAACCTCAACTAGACCCGACAATATGGGAGCCTGAAACGCTAGAACCTGGCTTTGGGGTAAAACTCGAACCACTGGACCCTGATTCATCAGTAGCACCAATTCTTCAGGCCCCGACATTAACCAAACTCCGAATCCCGGTATCTTATAAGCCTTTGTCTCACCCTGAACCCTCAAACTCAAACTCTGAATCCGAAGCCCTAAGCCCGAAAACTTTAAAACTAAAGCCCGAATCCAGCCTTATGTCGCCAAGTGGCAGCTGGTATGGGAGCACGAAGGCATCTACAAGCACGACTAGCATCACTGCCAGGTCCCACGCCAGCTTGCCTAAGAGTTCCGATCGCCCGTCAAGGGCCTTTAATGGGCTCCCTAATGGGCAGGGTTCCTTTCAAGGTTCCCTTAAGGGGTTTGTTTGAGGGTTCCTTTAAGGTTTCTTTAAAAAAGTTAGGGTCTGCTGGGCTTGGGGATCGGAGGTTTAGTCCGCGAGGCATGCCGTGGGATGGACAAAACCTAGCGCCCAACACTCTCAACTCACGAAGCGCAATTGCACTGAAAGAAGCAACCCTACCTTCAGTCTCCATTGTAGTTCCTTTTTGGGGTTACCTTTTCGGATCCCAACTATATCTTTGGTTAAACAAAAAAAGGAACTTAATGGAGACTATAAGTAAACCCCTGAACCAGGTGCAGTGCAACCACACTATCTTGATGTGAAAGGCAGAGATCAGAATCAGCAATCTAGCAGCAGGCCCTACAAACCCGGAAGACTAAACCCTCGAGCCCAAGAGGGATAGGGAGGAACATCTTCGGAGGCTTAGCGTAGCGGCCACAACACCCAAAGATTAGGCTGGGGAGTAGGATAGGTTCCAGAGGTGTTATATACCTCTTACGCTTCCTTGATTAATTCTAATAGCAGAAGCATGTATGCATGTAAAGCTGTTTGTCTCAAAAGTCTAACTGCCTGTAGTTCGACTGGCGCAAGTCATCGGTTTGGAATTCAGGCGGAATTCCGGGAACCTCCTCCTTTTTCTCCCAGCATGAAGGCGCGGAAGTATGACAAAACACAATCCCAGAGACTCCAATACCCCTTAATTAAGGAATATACCTTAAACTATAGTAGGATCCTTAATATAATTTAAGGAATATTCCTTAATTAAGGGATATTGGAGTCTCTGGGATACGTGACAATCCAACCTGTCTCCCCTGCCTATGCCCCATCACATAGACTGAACTCAAACAAGGATAGCGACAAAGACAGTATCAAACCAACAATAAGAATGACAATGCCATAAAACATCGTAACCAAAAGCAATAATGAGACTGCTATAAAAGTTGTACATGGTCAGAATGCCACCTTTTTAGTTTCAGAAATTCCTGTTGCAATACCTTTGCTGATGCTGGCCGGAGGTGCTTGTCCAAGCAGGATATATCACTATCCGATGGCTGCACGGCGGCTTTCTATGAGCGATTGCACTTGGGTGAGCCTCGGCATTGTTAAGGTTTGTGGTAGGGCTCAGGGTTTTGGGTTAGGGTTTAGGGTTAGGGTGTAGGGCTTAGGGTAAGGGTTTTGGGTTTAGGTTGAGGGATCAGGATCCAAGAGGAAGGCGTGCAGAAGTTCGGACATAGTTGGTGTCGACATGATCGACATGTTTCATTTCCTGGTGATTCACTGTACCCATATAGGCTAGCAGTATAGCTGGGGCTTCGACAAAGGAGCGCAGTCAATGCGCTGTTGCACTACACTTTACGCACGAAAAATTGAACTTATATACCGAACTTGACCTGTCAGCAAAACTCTCGCATCCATCTTGTGCGAAACCATAGAGCAAGGGGTTCACATCGACAAAATGAGAAGGGGATCTGATTAGGAGCTCCAAAAGACTCCGCCCTAGCTGACATATCCCACTCAACAAGCCTCGGGCACCGGAGCCCACAACTCAAACCCTTCCCGAGAAAAACTTGTGTTGAAGAAGTGGCGTTTATGCTGCTACCCATAGGCTACACAGTAGTTCCCTTTTGGGATTACCTTATAGGATCTGTATGAACCACAGGAAGGAACTACAATGGAGCCTATGGCGAAGGCTACTCTTGACTTCCGGCTTCAAGACTTTTCTTCATACGGCGGTAGACTTACAAGAAAAACCTTCTTCGTTTGAGAAAACTTCCGCAAAAGAGCGTAACCGCTGACGTCAATCCTCTTACAACGCGCGGTTTGGAATAACTTCATCGCCACCCTACGCCCTCAAGCAGAATCAAAAAACCCTCCGAAATCTGCAACCACCCCTCTTGCACACTGCCTATAGTCTCCATTGTAATTCCTTTTTGTGGCTTAACCAAATATATATGTATATATATATATATATATATAATTAGGATCCTATCTGAAGAAGGAACTACAATGGAGACTATAGGTAAGACCACATATTGCGTCCATTCAGGATGCCCTCGGGGGGGTTCTATAAATGCTAAACTGGGAGTTAGGATTAGGGGGAGCCTTGGGGATATAGACCCTCTCAATAAGGCCCCTTTTAAGAGAGCCAGAAGTAGGGTTCAGAAGGGGTACCCTGTAAGGGGTCTCCCTAATAGTACTGTTGATGGACAAAACCCTGCATTACCCATTATAAGGAATATACCTTAATTCCCATAGTTTAGAGTCCTTAGGGTCATGCAGGATTTTGTCCATCAACAGTACTACCCATAAACCAGCTGAGTGGCCGCAATGTTGCTATCTTCGGCACTTACGGCTTCGGAGTATACGCTTGTCCGTCCCAGCGAGGTCCTTCGATCGGTCGCGGCTCAGACATGTGTAATATAGGGGCCTTATGAAGTGAAATGGGATTTTGGGGGCCCAGTATGCTCTAGTCGTAGCAGAGAACCCACAAAATAGTATTAGTATTCTTTTTAAGGTTGTATGGTAAGGGCTGAGGGTCTAGGGATATTGTAGAATCTTCATTAGGAGTTTTAGGGTTGAAAACTCTCGGGGGTGTGGGGCTTAGATGCAGGATGTCTCAGTCTAGTGGTGCATTTAGGGGCCCTTATAACCAGGATTTTACTACGCAGGACCACGTCAGGGTCCCAGTGTTTTCTCACCACCACAATCCATTAGTGAGTTCCTTCTTTAGGTTCCTGTAGTCGTTTTGCAAGCTTTTGTCTTACGTGCCGGGTGTTGGTGTGTCTCGGGGTTTCAGGCGGCTTGGATCGAAAGAGAATCAGGCAGCGTAATTAGATTGAATGATGTTGTCTAACAGAACAAAAATCGGAAGATGCTCTTACAGCTCTGCATATCTATACCTGTGTAAGGGGCTATATGTATATATATATAATAAAAATAATCATCATCATCATACAGTGTTAGGGCCTGTTCATCAGGGGCCAAGGGTCGAGGGTCACGATCCGATGTACCCCCAAATACAGCCTCCAGAACCTTTGTTTATGGTCATTACTATTCTTACTCTTGCTGTTGTTGTCAGCATTAATAGTATAGCAAGTATCAGCAGTAGTACTATTGATTTTACGATTGGTTTTGGCTTCCTGGCTTCCCGAATCTGGCGTTACCCGGCACAGATTCGGAAGAGTCGGCAGGTTCAGCTTGTTAAGAGTCAATGAACTTGTACTTAGTAGCCACAAGGGGAAGAAAAAACACTGTGAACCATGAAATGGCGAAAGCCTGGCTATATAGCTAGAGCTTGGCAAAACTTGTACTGGACATCCGAGCTCCCGATAGCCGAAACCGCCAGCCTCCGCATGCACACCCCGATATACCCAGCAAACCCTGTACAATCAGCTATCAAAGAAACTCCGAACTGATAACTAGCTGCCTTCTTCGACACCCAACCCCACACGCACACAAAAACAACAAGCCTTATACTACTCCCTTGATCGCCACAAAAAAACGCATGAGAAACGGCAAACCTGAAACGCCTCAACCTGACAATGGCACATATGCCTAGTGCCTCACACTACTAACGTAACAAATCCTACGCCTACTCCCTGTTGTAGACCCTAAACACCGTAAGACGTCAGCGACCCAAGAAGCTCTATTATCTTCCCAAAGGGTCCCAGTATATATCATTATGGTATATAATTATGAGTATTTGGTGGACCTAAGTATATACCATAATGATACTTGGATCCTTTGGGCTTGAGACCCTTAACCCTAAAACCTGACTCGCCAAGGCACGCTGAAGGTCCCGGCTTTGGGATCTTCGGCACTTTGCTAGGGGAACAAGCGTTCGCATTGGCCTGGAGTTGAAGGGTTTAGGGTTTAGGGGTTTAGGGTTTAGGGTTTTAGGGTTTTAGGGTTTAGGGTTTAGGGTGGTTTGAAGACTTTTTTAGGATGCACAACCCTTTTTCGCTACTGGGCTTGAGGACTAGCCAGATCCGCTCGACCTCTATCATCACGACCGAGGCCCATGCACAGCCCTAAACCTGTAAGGTTTTGGGAATTTAGGATTGAGGCTGACTGAGGTTTGGGAAGTCAGAAATGATTTCCTGGGCCTCTTGAAGACGGCAGGCATACTAAGGATGACGAGTATCTAGCCCGGTCGTAAGCTGGAGATTATCTGAGATTGATGCCTGCATACTATGTCACTCTTAGGCCTTTGGGCTGGGTTGTCATCATCCAGACCAGAACAACACCATTCGGGTGTTGAGGTAGAAGTTGATATGCTAAGTACAACATCGGGGTTATGACTCCCGCTGATGGGAACTGCCGAGGCCTTGGTGTCTCATGTTTCTATTCGGTTGGATGTCAGATTTTGTTGTCGCAGTAACGTTGCCGATGACAGCCAATCATCGGATAGGAAGGTGCAAACCAAAACAAGAGCTAGCTAGTGCTGCGTTACTGCCTTAACCTCCCGCAGTTCATCCGGATGCGAAAACGCTGTGGCACCAAGGAGCAACAAGTGATTCCACTCCCAAATCTCGAAATCGAACAAGACAGCCTAGATATTCTAGCAAGACCCAACCATGCCCCCGCCCCCTTTGAGGTTTGTTTGCAGGTCGGCGGAAGCCTACACTATAAACCGCTTTTAATCTCGCTTCAACGCCCTGACCCCCAAGAGGAAGCATGCCGCTCAGCGGCTGCCGACGTGTCTTGCTCGGAGCTGGCGCTCACCGTCACGGAATGTCTGAGACCTCAGTGCTGGATCGGTGCGTTGGTTACTGTAGGGGTTGCAGAAAGGCCCTTTTAAAGTTTCAGGGTTACTATGGAGGCTATATAAACCCTCAACCCGAATAAACGATTGAGCGGTTGCAGGGTTGAGGGTTTGCGCCCTTAACGGACATGGCTCATTATGCACCTCTTGGAAATAGTGCCACCTGGCGAATACGTAGGTAGAGGGCTTACATGGCTCTGTTGCAGGGCCCTCAAGTCAGTCGAATCATCCAATCCGCCCTTACAGAAGTAACAAATGCATGAACCGGAAACATGCCCGGAACAACCTGTAAGACAAACCCGAACAGTTCCTTTGACTAAGCCGCCAAAAACAACCACAATCCTAAATTCTGCACCCCCTGGGAACGAAAAGTGAACCCCAAAATCTAGGGCTACCTTATTTTGGGGTCCTTACAATAAGGATCCTACTGTTTGAGGTACTATATTAGGGTCCCTCGTCATGGCTTCATCGTCCGGCGAAGCTGTAAAGCCCCCAGAGCCTGCAACTTGTGAAGCGCTAAGACCCAAGACGATAGAACACCTCCCAACCCGAAACCCAAAAATAGCTTCAAGGTTAAGAAAGATAGAACCCTAAATCCTAAAATCCTAATAACACACCAAGACACAAACACATAAAATCCCTCTCTCTCTCTATCCTCAAACCTAAACCCGAAATCCTCAAACCCTTAACCCTAAATCCTCAAGCCCTCACCATTAAACCCCATAAGAAACCCCTCAAACCCTATAAGACCTCGCAGACTGAGATCCGGGCGGGGCTGCCCGGAGGAAGCGCTAGGGCCTCCGCTCGGGCCTCCATGTGCCTGACCGGCATCCTGTGACGATGTGTCTTTTCTTGATCTTTAAAGTTCAGGATAATTAGGGGATGTGTTTGATTAAGGTTATCTTCTTAATGCTTATAGGGTTTAGGATTATTGGGTGTTTTTCTTCATCTTTAGGGTTTAGGATTGTTGAGGTTATCTCTCTTCGTGTTTCGGCGCTCACACTCGGACAATCCAGGCGAGGCGTATGGTCAGACTCCGAACCATATGCCTCGTCTCTTCGTGTTTGCGGTTTAAGACTTCGGGTAGTTTCTCTCAATGTTCAGGGTTTAGGCTTATTAGGATTCTCTTCTTGATGTTTCGGGTCCAAGAGATGGGTTTGATGCTTGCTGCTACCAGTGCTGTGTTCATAATCTACATATTTATGATTACTTTGATGTTGGTTGTGTTCCTTGCTCTTCATAGCTTTGGTTTAGGTTTACTCGTTCTTTTTGTGGTTTTGTGGGTTTCGGAGTTTCGCGCGTACGTTCAGGGGGTTCCAAGGTTTAGAGACCGGATATGGCCTAGGGTGTTTCGCGGTCTATTTCGTGTTCAAGGCTTGGGGATACAAAGCCGCGGCGTTGAGTTCAGACTTGGGAGGACTTGTGCTGAAGACATTCGGCTCTAGGCTAGCAAGTGAAAGGTTGGGCTGTTTGGGCTGTAAGGCTTTGCGGTCGGGGCAGCGGACGAGAGGATCTGAATCCTTGTTTGGGAATCCGGTGACCGTGCCTCGTGTTAAGCTCTGCTGGTAAACAGGTTGTCTGAATCCGAAACAGCTTTGCGGATTACTGTATGCAGCGGCCTCAACGTACATGAGGATCACTCCTATTTCTACATTATGACCTCTAGAGCTCAAACAAAAGCACTCCCAAACCCTCCGCTGCTTCAGCTGGGTCACTCCCTGCAGCTCGCTGACATCGGTCAGCACGATGCTGATTGAGCTCTTCAGGGCCTTGTGATCCGACATCCCTAGTCCAAAAAAACCCAACCCTGCTCCACCCAGAGTCTCCATTGTAATTCCTTTTGGGGGATACCTTTTAGGATCCTAATTATATATCTGGTTAAACCGAAAAAGGAACTACAATGGAGACTATAGGTATGATATGAAAGGTGAAAGTCGAGTACAGCACTCCACTTGCTATCGCGATGGGTTTGCACTTGGGGTGCAAAAGCCTAGTTAGACTCTGCAGGCCTATACTACCACAAACCCTGAAGGCTAGAACCCTAAGCTACTTCCATGCTTCGTGTCCCTTAGTCGTACGGTTGCTATTACTGTTACTGTTACAGTTTCTGGTTCTGTCATCATTATGGTCATTGCTATTGCCATTATTGTCACTATTTCCATTACTGTCATTATGAAGGTTATTGCTATTGGTGTGATTCCTATCAGATTTGAGCCCTGAACACTTGGACCCGGGTCTCGCCCTTCTGACTTCTAAGCTGTTGCGGCGTTTCGCTTTGGATGACAAGTGGCTTAGGGTTTAGGGTATAGGGTTTCCGTATCCCTGGCGAAGTGAAGGGGGGCGAATCGCATCGATGATAACCGGATTCATGCTGATGAAATAGTGTTACTGATAGCATGCCGGTACTTTTAGAACCAAACCCCAAGGCGGATGAACTCTCATAGGCTCTGAATACGAGTTCTCCCAGAAAAGCAGCACCCGAAAACCCTGACACTTGCCAATCTAGAGCTCTAATGCCACGAAAAACTAAAGTAGTTAATAATGCCAAGAACAAACTAGCAGTAATCGCAATAATAGTAACCTTCATGAAAGACCCTCGGAGCTCTATCAGCGGGACCCTGGTACACCCAGAACAAGTTCAAGGCAAGGTGCAGCGACAGCTTGCTTCAACCGCTCCGTTGAATTCGGATTGTCATTTCTGACCCCGGACTCTTTCTCGGGATCGTGCATGTCTGGATTGTCATTCCTCGGTTCGACTGGGTTGTGCTTGAAAAACTTTGAAAATTAGTTATGAATAGGTTCCCTTTATAAGGAAATAAGGGAAATCAAAAATGATCCCAAAGCACAACAGAGTCGAGATGACAGCTTTCGTTCAGGGTTCAGGGATGTCTGCGTTGTTATTTCTAGCAAGAGGGTTTTGGGCCCGGATTTTGGGCTGCACGCGGTGGAGTATTGAAAGAAAAGGGTCTTTAGATAAAGTGTTCTTTGCTGTATCGGCTGTGACTTGGTTTCCATTGCTGCGTGCCTTTCAGCCCGCCGTCGATCCAGTATAGGGGCCTGAGTAATTAATTTGAATGAGGTTTTGCCGTAGTGTACACTAAAGCTATACTAAACTAGTAAGGAATGGTAAGGTTTGGGGTGTGAGCAGGAGGGTATTGTAGCTTCACCGGGTTCCTGAAGCCATTAGAACCTTTATGAGTGCGGATACTATTAAAGATATCATTTTCTAGTTGTTACTCTTGTAACGCAAAGGGTCCAAGCATCATTATGGTATGTACTTTGGTCCTCAAAATACCCTATAAGTATATACCATAATGATACTTGGACCCTTTGGGTAATTCTAACCAGGGGATCTGCTTGCCCTTAACCCTCAATCCGCCCCAGCCCGATCAGGCAAGAAGGCACCAAACGGAGCACAAGAAATGCTCCTGAAGGGCCTATGTATAGAACCTAGGGACCCCTTATTCAGCCAACCTGAACCCATTATCCTCAAAGGCTTATGACTAAACCCTACATGAACCCTGTATGACCTACCTGTCTGGAGTTCCTTCATATGACTTCCTTGACTGAGCCCTTCACAGGCAATCTATTCGCGGTCAACCCTAAGCCCTCAAATCCTGAACCCACAACTTAAAATTAGCACAGCCAAGGTGTCAGCGCCACAAGGGTCTGGACATGTTGCTCGAGAACAGCAGACATGGTTTCCAGACTTCTTGCCACCATGCCTCCGATCGTCATTTATGGCTTCGAGGGTTTAGGGTCTAGGTCGGTTTTTAACGATCTTGAGGCTAGGATTGGCGCAACAAGCTTAAACAAAACTGGCAGCATGATGAGGGCTGGACGCCACAAACCAAACCCGAAACACCAAAACCCTAGATGGCTTATATGGGAGTTTCCGAAAATAGGGGGCCCTAATAAAGCACCCTGAACTGTAGGATCCTTATTATAAGAACCACGAAATAAGGTACCCCTAATTTTCGAAAACGTCCATGTGGTTTTGGAAGAAACAACTGCTTCTGCGATTCAAGAAGCCTTCAGAAACCCAGCTAGTGGTGATACGGTTGATGATATAAATCTTGCATTACCCATAATAAGGACTATACCATGATTCCGATAGTTTCGGGTCCTCAAGGTAATGCAGGATTTGTATCATCAACCGTACCGCGAGGAGTGAAGCTGAGCTCAGATTCTGTCATCTGGGCTTACGGTTTGGAAGCTCTCAAAGCCCTCCTGCCCTGTACCCTTATACTATAGGTGCCTTACTAATTAGAATGCCTTCCACTCCAGTCTGTGCATTGCAACAGCAACATGTGCATGCCTCTTGTGGGATGCTAGTGAGCCTTCGTATACTAATTAGCACAGGGTTTTGGGCCCCTTATACTATAAGCATAACAAGGAACCCCCCAACATAGTATAGAGCATTATTCAGGCCCCTATAGTACACCCATTATGTGCTCTGAGGCTGAAAAGGGTCCCAATTCGAAGCGGTCCACCATCAACAAGGCAAAACGGAACAAGTAGTGTTGCTATTGTTATAATGTTCATATTAGTAGAAAGCACTTAGGAAGTATTATAGGCATTATTCGCGCTATGGCTACTATTGTTCGTATAGAAAAAACGGAAGCCTGTCTGCGACCGAGTAGCAAACATTGTGGCACGCATTGTTGAGCTCTTGGCTGTGACTGGTCATGGTTCCCAAGACGCACGAGCCGCACTGACCACCTCTCAAACAATGCCCCGCGGAGGGAAAGCACCGATTCATCCGTAAGACAGTGAAGCCTTCATCTTCACAGCTATCGCTATGAACCCTACAATGCAGGTGGTAGACCCCCCGTTCTTCCTTCGGGTGCAGACAGTGACCGCAATTCGAGCACCCATTTCGGGTGTATCGTAACGAGGAATCATAGGCCCCGGCCCGTGCCCTTGGACATACACGGTTTATCGATGAAGGTTTTGGGGTTCAGGTTCAGGGGGTAGTAGTCACGCCAGGGTGCAACTTACGCCCACCAAAGGAGATCAGGCAGCAGGCAACATTGGCATGTGCAAGATGATGTGGCTTCGACTCAAACTCATTAACATGCCCAAGCTGCCGCGGCAAACCGGCCGAACATCCGCCGCGCTCTCCTGGGTGCGACAGGGCCCCTAATGAGAGTCAAAGATTGAGCGCTTCAGTGGTTTCGTGGCTATGACTATTATTACTCGTATCACAAGTGCCACTATGATTTCAACTTATGCTAGTGATATTACTATTGTTCTTCGTCTCGCTAGTAGTATGGCAATACGTATCAAGCATTGTTGCTGTCACAGTTGTATTGTTCCAAATTACGAAAGTCGCCTTAAATGTTGTTCATAGGTTGCTATTCGTTTCATTCTTATTACATCATTGATTACCATTCATGGTAGTACTAGTACTAGTACTAGTAGTAGTAGTAGTAGTAGTAGTAGTAGTAGTAGTAGTAGTAGTAGTAGTAGTAGTAGTAGTAGTAGTAGTAGTAGTAGTAGTAGTAGTAGTAGTAGTAGTAGTAGTAGTAGTAGTAGTAGTAGTAGTAGTAGTAGTAGTAGTAGTAGTAGTAGTAGTAGTAGTAGTAGTAGTAGTAGTAGTAGTAGTAGTAGTAGTAGTAGTAGTAGTAGTAGTAGTAGTAGTAGTAGTAGTAGTAGTAGTAGTAGTAGTAGTAGTAGTAGTAGTAGTAGTTGTAGTTGTAGTTGCAATTGCAGTTGTTGTTGTTGTTGTTGTTGTTGTTGTTGTTGTTGTTGTTGTTGTTGTTGTTGTTGTGATATTACTATTCTGGCTAATATTGTTATCGTTGTTACACATTGTAGGAACTGCGTAGGCGTGAGGGTTCATAGCGCCCGAGGAGTTTCTGTTTTGGGACTTCTTGGCACTGAGTGAATACCAACAAGACTGGGGCAGCCGGTGTACTGATTCGCCCAAACGCCGTCTGTTTTCGCACCGGGACGGGGGCCAAACCAGTGCAAGTGTTCTGAAGTGCAACATGCCGCGAGGGAGAAAGTGATGCTCTGCTCCACCACCACAACTACTGCTGCTGCTGCTACTACCCGTAGTCACTAGTCCTAGTCGCTTAGTCCTGGTCAGTCCTGGTGCTACTCCTGTCCTACTACGCCTCCTGCTACTGCTACTACAACTGCTACTACTACAACTACTACTATCACCACCACTACCACTACCACTAGCAGTACCACTACCAGTACCACCACTGCCACTGCCGCCCTGCTACTACTACTACTACTACCACCACTACTACTACTACTACTACTACCACCACTACGACAACCTACGACAAATGCAACAACAACCCCTGCTACCAAAACTACTGTTAATACGACAACCTACGACAACTACAACTACTACTAGTACTACTAGTACTACTAGTACTACTAGTACTACTAGTACTACTAGTACCACTAGTACTACTAGTACTACTAGTACTACTAGTACTACTAGTACTACTAGTACTACTAGTACTACTACTACTACTACTACTACTACTACCACTACTACTACCGCTGCTGCTGCGTACAGATGACAATACTTGCGTTATTCGACGGGACCAGAATCCCACTAAAACCGTGAATCATAAACCCGGCGTCCTCAGCGGGGCGGCTCGCTCTCGTTGGAGCTCCCCGCGCTTGGTCCCGGCTAGGAGCCAAGTCGGCAACGGACGCAGAAGTTTTCGAGCAGCTACGGTCTTGGGGTACTCTAAAGTGTATATACTCTAATTGCAAATGTAAGATAGTATGACTCATTACCCTAAGGGTCCACGTA